GGGGGCACAAAACTTTTATTTTCATTGGTCACTGCGGCTTTGAATGTCACCAAACCTTTGCAGATACACACTGCTAGTCTTACCTATGACACTAGACGAGATTTATCTTCCTCAATCGCAAATATCTTGACTTTTGTTCAAAATAGATGCATAAAGCTAGATAAATTAACAAAACTTGAAAATTATACCAACAACTCCATGTTATGTGCCCAAAAATTGACAAGCACCTTATAATATATTATTACGTTGCTTTCTCTGTATCCCTCTCCCTACCCAACATCTCTCTCTCTTCTCTCTCTCTCTATATATATATGTGTGTATCACTATATTATGCCCAACATATCTCTCTCTCTCTCGGTGCACTGTATATGTAATATATATATAATGATATATATCAATATACGTACCCAACATCTCTCTCTCTCTCTCCGTGCCCCGTGTCTCCAGCCAGACATGGCCTATATTTCAGGTTGTCGGAGCTGGAAGAGTCGTCGAGGGACAAGTCCCGCGGTCTGTCCATGGCACAGGTGCGCAGCAAGTACCTGGAGGAGGAGAACTCGCGTCTGCAGGACCGCCTCCAGGCTGTGTGTCAGCAGAAGCATAACCTGGACAGGTTGCTCAAGGACCACGGCAAGAGAGAGGTGGGGCAAAGCGCGGGCGCTAGTCTGTTTTGTTTGTTATATTATATAGATGGAGGGGAAGAGAGACGGATGGAGAGGGGGAGAGAGAATGAGAGAGAGAGCGAGAGGGAGAGAGAACGAGAGAGAGAGAGAACGAGAGCGAAAGAGAGATATATAGATTATACCCAGTGCCCACTGGCACGATCTGTTCGGTTTGGTTTGATTTGCTAGCCAGATTGGGGGCGCAAAGCGGCTATCGTAGCGCAAACCGTCGCCTAAAATATAAACAAGTTTGTTTTCAGGCGACGAGTTTGGGGATCGGTTTGTTGATCCCCCGATCAGTACTTCGTAGGAAGAGTTTTACAGCTTTGGGGCTAATCTGTTTTAGTTTAGGAAGAGTTTTACGACCTTGGGGCTAATCTGTTTAGTTTAAGAAGAGTTTTATGACGCTCGCAACTGGCAGTCAGCGCTTATAATCTTAGTGTTCTTAGTGCATGGTGACCCCCTTGCTTTTTTTATGTTCTTATTGTTGTTGCTTTTGTTGTTGTGTGATTATTGTCATGGTTTGAACCCCACCCAGGAGTTGGGCTCGTATGTTCCCGTGTTTTTGAAAGTCGCATCGCCGTTGAAACCTCCACCTCCTCCCCTACCACTGCACCAGCAACATTATCTACAACAACAACAGCAACAACAACCTCAACAACAACCTCAACCTCCACCTCAGCCCCGCCTCAATCGTCTGGCACCAGCACAAGCACCCTACTACTACTACAACTGTGCTCACTGCTAAGCACAGAAGCTTGTAGGTCAGACCCCAAGACCTAATGGCCGTGGTAGACCAACACTTCTTCACCGAGTGCCACTCTTTCAATCAATTCCCTCGCCCTGCACCAGTGTGGCATTTTTTTTTCTATTACCAATTGACAATTTTGCCCCCCCCCCTCTCAACCCCCCCTCCTCCCCCCCTTTTAATCTCTACTTTGAAGTGCCCACTTGAGTTACTACACACCTGCACTTTTAAAACCTGCTGTTGTTTTCTTTTTGTTTTCAGTTTGTTTTTGGGGTTTTTTTTTGCTGTGTTCCTCACCTTTGCTTCAACTTGAAGTTCAAGGTGACTGATAATCCAGGCTGAACTCCCCCCCCCCCCCAAAAAAAAAAACCCCTAAAAAACCCCGACCCATACACTCACTCATATTATTATCTACTTGATTATCCATTTTCCTAGGTTACCCCCTCCCCCCAACACATACACATACACACGCACACACACACTCACAAACACACGCATGCACACACAAACACACACAACACACACACACACAGAGACTCGCTCACAAACACACGCTCACATGGAATTCTCTTCTTTCTTCTTTACTTTGTTCTTCCTATTAGTTTCTTGGACTTTCAGCCATTATCACCTGTTCTTCTATCTTCATACCCATTCTTCTTGAAGATTCTTGAATGTAGAACTGGGGTCCTAGGAAGTCGTGGCTCTCCATTCTTCCTCGCCCCTCTTCAAAGGGTCCATTTCAGTGCGGGCAGGCTGATTGTCTGTCTCCATCATCAGCTAGTCTTCTTACCCATCTGTATCTGTACTGAGATCTATCTATTTATTTGGTTTTTTTCTTCTGTCTTTTGTCCACACATTTATATATCTATACATCCATCCACCTGTGGGTGGTTGGCGGATGCTCTGGTGTGGTTTACTTCTTCTTTCCTATCAAACATCTATCGTCTTTATCGCCCCTCCTTCTTTTTTGTGTTTGTTACTCTCTTGTAACACCTCTAATCTTCAGCACTTATATGACCTCATTGTGTTGCAAGTGCCGTAAAACACTTACTAAAACTAAAGCATCAATCTTTTTGCTTACATCTTATTTTTGGGAGTGCTTATTTAGGCCACATATGGCCTAAATAAGGTAAGGGAGGGGGGTTTAGCTTATTTAGGCCACAGTGGACTGTGGCCTAAATAAGGTAAGGGAGGGGGGTTTAGCTTATTTAGGCCACACATGCTCAAACTACCCTTTTCAGGCAACTGAGTTCGTTCCACTTTCATAATGGTGCACCTTTCTCATTTAGTACGGTTTTGTCTCAGTGTACAACTTATAAATCATAACCATAATGAATATTGTAAAGAACAAAGCACAATACGCAAAATTTTGCTCAATCCCAATGGTTTGAATGAGGGCCAGATTTTTCCTTCATGGAGGGGCAAAAGCTAGGCTACCATTTTGGCACACTTTGGTCAAGTGAAAAGGTCGAATCCTCCGAATGGACTTCCGTGTTAAATTTGGGGTATAAAAAGAGTGTACACTACGTGGCTGAGTCAAAGTTACACTATCTCTGCCTGAGTGACACTCTCTCGTACTGTCTCGTAGTAGTACATGTAGGCCTAGTAGTAGTAGTAGCAAAGATCGTGTAGAGAATATTTGGTAGTAGATTCTATCTAGTAGGCAGTTTAGTGAACGTGCTCGCGGCAGGGCGAATCGGCCTCGATAAGCCCCGTAGACTTTTGTGATCGGCCACCAAGCCTCGTGTTTTGATGGGTCTAGATCTAAACAACTCAGTGTTATTCGCACTGCCACATCCGACAGGCCTAGATCTACATCTTTTTAAAAGGAAAAGAAAGATCATCAAAATGGTTGAATTCGCGTGAAAATCGATCCGGTAGAACTAGAGAACTATTAAAATTTACTTCTGAAGGCCATTTTTATAACTCGATTAAATAAAAACTACTGGCTGTGTGCTGTGTTATTCTGTATAAAAATAAATTATGAAACTTCAGGACGTATTATTATTTTCCAGCATCTTTTGACGCCTGAGCTGTAGAGGTTGAAGTTTTCACAACACTAATAGATCTAGTAAGAGGGTTAGGTAATAGTCCACCTTAAACCTACTTATTTCACTACGTTGACTCCAGGGTCCACCAATCCTTAAAATTAAACCTAGATCTACATGTACTTATTTCACTACATTGGCCCCAGGGTCCACCAATCCTTAATTAAACCTATATCTACTTATAATTTCGCTACGGTGACCACGGGCTCCGCCAGTCCTACTATAAAATAAACTGAGATCTACTTATTTCACTATGTTGACCCCGGGGTCCACCGATCCTTAGTTAAACCTAGATCTACTACTTATTTCACTACGCTGACTCCGGGGTTCACATCCAAAATCCTAGCATTTTGTTAGGTAGACCCCGCGGTCCACCTATCCTTTTGGCTGGATAGACCCCGTAGTCTGCCTATCCACTTTTTTGATAATAACTGAAAACAATACATGCCAGTTGTCATGAATAGTGAAGCAAAATGCGGGGAAAAAAAGACAATGAGGTAGACTATAATTTGTCAAAAAAATTGCAAGTGCAAGTGAAGATCATAAAATAATTTTGTTATTTTCTGGTCATCTTTCCCGGTTTATAAAAAAATTCCAGTGGGCCTACTACTAGATCTATGTATCTGAAGAACATTTTGCTTGCTTTTATTAGCTTTTTTCATGTACATGAAAGCATAGAATATATAGTTTCACACAAATATATGCACAATACTTTGAAAAAGAAAGATAAGGTCATTGTTGTTTTGTTTTTTTACGGAATCCGATTTACGTTGAGAAAAGCGGTTAAAACAAGTTAAAAAATTTTAAGAATGCCCATAATATTAGTATTAGGAATCCGAAATTACTACCTAGTTGGCTTACTCTTTAATAACCATGAGCAGTTAAGAAAAAAAAAGACAATGATATAGGATTTGTCTAAATATGACCATTAGCAATAAAGATGTTGCCCATTTTGTCCAATTATCCTTGCAGGTAAAATCACCCTGCACTGTACCTCAATAAGCACAAAAGGAATATTTCTGTGACTTTGTATAAAGGTGTGGCCTAAATAAGGTAAGGGAGGGGGGTTTAGCTTATTTAGGCCATATGTGGCCTAAATAAGGTCACCCCTTATTTTTAGTAGGTTATCATTCAAGTTAGAGTAAGAGTGGGGGACATAAATTCTTCTCTTGCTTCTCAGTCACAGAAACTTTCTGTTCTTCTTATGTGTGTGCTCTTGACTTTCTCTAACAATGTTTCCAGCTCTAGCTGTAGATCACGGTTTTAGTATGCGGTTCACCCCCCCCCCCCCCCTTTTTTTTTTTGGTTTGGTGTTCAGTGAAATAACAATAACAAAACAATCACAAAAAAACCCAGCCTGAATTATCACTTTGCAGTCACACAGCCAGCAGTACAAAATACCCCATCTGGTCACCCAGCCAGGAGAGTGACTGCAACGGACTTCTCGGGCCTGGTGCAGAACTGCGCCAGGTGACAGGAACGGATAATTTTCTCGGGCGCTTTATTGCAGCAAGTGACTGCAAAGTGTTAATGAAAGAGGATACAGTTAATGTGAAATTTCAATTATAACAAAAAAGCTTGAGTTATTCAAAAAGTTTGCATGCATAAAATTCTTTTGAGGTTATTTAGCTGTCACAAAAAAAACCCAACTAAGATAACGACCGACAGATTGAAGTCCATTATTCATCAGATGGACAATCTCATTCATAGACTATGTCGTTTGTTATTAACCCTATCCGTACACCCTGGGGTCATTTTGTATCCCCAGGGTTGTATTCTTCACTTTTTAGAATACTTCTAGTTTGAAGATCTCTTTGACACTTTCAGTATTTCTCAAAAAATCATTTTGACACACTGCTATGTAAAGCGTACGGATCGGAGTAACGAGTAAATTTACTCTTTGGAAAGTGGTGGCACAGAGTTCCCCACGTTGTATGGATACGATAGTAAAACACGACCTATGGATAGGGTTAATGAATGAAATATTTGATAGGAGAGAAGAAGAAGCAAACCACACTAGAGTACCCACCAACTGCCCACACCACAGACAAGGGTGCCGTTGTAGTTTGATACATATTTATTTATGTCGACCTGTGGTCCTCAGACTCAGAGTGTGAAGTATTTTACCACCGTGGAGACCTCCTTTGATCGTCTGTCCAGAAATTTTGATTTTCTGTGGTGAGAAGATATTTTTCAGGAAGGCGCGTATGTGGGCTTCATTTTGCTGCTTACATAGCGTACCGGTACATAAGATCATTTCATATACTCTTCAGTGCTTTGTATTCATCAATAACTATAATCTGTTCACAGAAGCTTATACACAATAACAGAATTTATTATACATTTATAAATATATGAAACTTTTATGGTATTACTATTTTTTTAACATAAATATGGATTTGAGTGGCACATTTAGACACACACACACACACACACACACACACACGCACACACACACACACACACACACACACACACACACACACACACACACACACACATACACACACACACAAGAGATGCACAAACCTACAACATGCACACCAAAAAATGAAGCACAAAGCAGAGTGTTACAGTACACAGAGTCACCACATTAAAAAATCATTGTAAAACTCGTACAAAACAAACTTAACAATAGACAAGGTAGCACGGAAAGCAGAAGCTGAAAAAGAAAAGAAAAACATACGAAAAGGGTGGCTTCTCCCAAGGGGATTGAGTCATGAAGCATTCAAACTTACGACTGCAAATTTTTCGGTGACGTCATAACCCAGCACAGAACACGGACTTTCTTTGTGAGTTGGTCAGCCAGAGCAGTGTTATCTGAAACAAAACAAAAACATTGAAATAATAAAATTAATGAGCTTACATGTATAACACAACAGAAATGCCGTTATCTCGACAGTCATTACAACAAATGTCTTCTTGTTTGTTGGAAGTTTTAATCTATCTATCTATCTATCTATCTAATCTATCTATCTATCTATCTATCTATCTATCTATCTATCTA